TAGAGGTAAAGGAAGGGCCCTTGGAGCTTGGGAGTGAGGAAGCTAATGGTAAGGTGCCTTGGGGCAGGAAGGATGAGGGGGAAGGGGAAGGGGAAGGGAACGGCACAGGTGTGCTCCCAGGTGCACTGGGTCTTCTGCCCTAAGTATTTTAAGGGTGAAGATTGTAGAGGAGGTCCCAGGGGAAGATCTCAATAGATTCTATTGAATAGAAGATTCAGCAGTTTTCCAGGTGTGTCCTTTCAGAGTTGTGGTCACCACTGATTTATTGGTCAGCACAGGGCAGGGGGTCATTATTCAATGCAGCTGGTCCTGAGGTCAGCCAGGTGTAAATTGTCTGGTTTTGCTGCTTTTCTGAGCCTGGAGCTGAAACACAACTGAGGCCTAGATGTTATCTCTAGGGAGGAAAGGTGAAGGGGTCCAAACCTCAGGGCCAGGGACATGCTAGGGGAGAGAAAGTCATCCTGGGAGAGAAGTCCCCTCTATAATTGTCCTTTGCTAGGTACCTGGGGCTTTCCACCCTGATAACTTCCTGTACCTGGCCCATAGTTCATGTTCTGCTCATGTCTGTCTAACTGCCTACCACACAACCAACTGAGCCACCCGGCCAAGGCTGAACCTATTTTTTAAATATGTTTTTATTGACTTTTAGAGAGAGGGGATGGGAGAGAGATAAAAGCAACCACAGGCTATCTCCTGCATGCCCCCTACTGAAGATGAAGCTCAAAACCCTGGCATGTGCCCTAACTGGTTTGGCTCAGTGGATAAAGCGTCGGCCTGCGGACTCAAGGGTCCCAGGTTCGATTCTGGTCAAGGGCATGTACCTTGGTTGTGACACAACCCTGGTGGGGAGTGTGCGGGAGGCAGCTGATCAATGTTTCTCTCTCATCGATGTTTCTAACTCTCTATTCCTCTCCCTTCCTCTCTGTAAAACTATCAATAAAATATATTTGGAAAAAAAAAACAAAACCTGACATGTGCCCTGACCGGGAATCAAACCAGCAATCTCTTGGTGCATGGGTCTACATTCAACTACTGAACCGTACTGGTTGGGCTGAACCTATTTTTAAAATCCTTTTAGTGTGTTTTTGCCAATCTACTAGGTTAAATTAATGCATAATTTTAATTTGCATATTTTAAATTAGAAATTGAGCTCTAGTTCATGTTGATTAGACTTTGTGTTTCTTTCTGTTATCTTTTCATCATTTATTTGATCATTTCTTACTGAGATGTTCTTTTTTTTACCTTACTGATTTGTAAGAGCTTATTACACATTATTATAATAATTTTAACCCATTGTCACATGTTACAGTGACATGTTTGTCATTTGTCTTTTAGTTCATTATGTCTTTCGCCATATAAAAGTTTTAGATTTTCCATGCCTACTTTAAATGGGAAGTAATAGGTTAATTATTTTCCTTAGTGGATAGCCACACTCCAAACACCATTTGCTTGAAATCAGTGTGGTAACGTGTTGTAATTTTTCTATTACTGAGAAGAAGTAAAAGGAAAGAAGGACCTTATCATCCTTAGGGTAAAATATTGTGATACCAGAGTTGGATTACTCTGGTGTGTTGTTCTGTTTTTCTGTTTCCTAAACCAGCCTAAAATAGAAATTCTACTTTGTTCTGAGAGTCTCCTCTTTTCATAAAGAAGTTGCTTGTATGGTTCCTAATGAGCCTAGAGACTATTGGAAACAAAGCACTATTCAACTGGATTGGCATTACTTGGCATGGGCGTCCTTATCTGCAATCTCTTCAAAGTGCTTCCCAATTCCACTCGACGCAGATAACTGGTATGCACAAGTACTCCTTTAGTTTATTGTCTCACCCTTGTTCCTGAATGCGAACAATGTGGATTCCCTCGGGCCTGTACATTCTCTCATTTATTTCAAAACATCTCATTATTTCAACTGAAGGCTTTTCTTTTTATTCACTACCTAGGATTCTTATAACCAGGGTGTTTATACAGGTTTAATACAGTATGCTCAATAGGCTCATCATGAAATAAATAAAAATTCAAAAGAACAGTGCGTTCACTCTTAGGACAATGCATGTCATACACTGGGTTAAGAGTAAGAAGATGAGGTGGGTGGTGAGTGGGCGTTGTATATTTTACTATTGGACACTCTGTTCCATCAGGTAGTGTTTCTACATGTTTTGTGGTAGTGCGGATATAGTCATTTCTTGAAAAATCATGACTTCTCATTTTGGCAATTTTATTACTTTTTATCTACTACATAGCAAAAAATTTTCGTATTGGAGATATATGTTGTAACAGAAGAGACTAAAATAGATAACATACAGACACAGACAGACAAAAAAACATATCTACACACACACACGCACACACACACACACACACATCTGTGCTTTTACTATAGAGTTGCTAGATTTAATTAGAGAACATATATAAAAAATACTTGAGGCCATGTGTGGTCGTTAGTAAATACTCAATGCATCTTAGCTATTATTATTATATGTCATCTAGGTGGGTTGTTGTTTTGTTTTGTTTTGTTTTTACCAGCTTGCAGCATGGATATAAGAAACCATTCTCTTTATTTTGCCTCTCTCCTTTCTCTGGCAAGTTGTTCGTGTTCTTTAGTGCAGTCCTCCTTAAGTCTCCTGTTTCTCCCCATCTCCTGTATGAGAACTGAGCCTCTGCCATACTAAAGGCTTAAAAAGCTCAGTCTTAATGAGAGGAGTGCATTCCTGCAGGTTGTTCAGCTATGATATGAATAACAATTACTCTCATTTCTGTAGTAGTTTATCATTTACAAAGGGATTTCTATCTTTTTGACTCAGTGCAACCTTGAGAGCTAAGTGAAGATGTTTTTAAGATTGTTTTCCATCTGATAAATGGTATACTGTTTTGCTAGGACCGCTGTAACAAAGTACCATAAACTGGGTAGCTTAAACAGCAAAATATTATTTTCACTCTGTTCTGGAGACTGAGAAGTCTGAGATCAAGGTGTCAGCAGGGTTGGTTTCTTCTAAGGTCCCTCTCCTTGTCATCTAGATGCCACCTTCTTGCTGTGCCCACAAGGTCTTCCCTCTTTACCCATCCGTATTCAAATCTTTTTTCAGAAAGATATCAGTCAAAGGAGATCAGAATATGACACCCTCAAATATGCCACTTTGGCATATCAATTGTTTTGAGCTGAAGGCAACTGAGGAACAGCAGGCGCAGGAAGAGCTCTCTGCTATCTGCGTGAAAGCTGGGCATAAATCTCCTATGAAAAAAGCACAGTCCCTATTCCAGGAAGAGAGGATAGGAGAGCACTCCTATCTCTGGAGGAGTCAATGCTGAGGTGATTCTGCATGAACAGACCTTACTAAAATAATCTTATCCTCCACAGTGGTTCTCAACCTTCCTAATGCCTCTACCCTTTAATACAGTTCCTCATGTTGTGGTGACCCCCAATTTCATTGTTACAAATTGAACAGAATTAAAGCATAGTGATTAATCACAAAAACAATATGTAATTATGTGTTTTCCGACGGTCTTAGGCGACCCCTGTGAAAGGGTCGTTCAACCCCCAAAGGGGTCTCGACCCACAAGTTGAGAACCGTTGCATTAGAAGATATCTTAACCCACCCACATGTATCTCCTAGTCACTCTCATAGTTTACCAGCTCTAGAAGCCCAAATCCCCTTTCCTTTGCTACTCACTTCTCCACAATTTATCACCCTTTATTAAAATAGTATGTAAGCTCCCAAGTCTGTCTGCTCTTTGACTTTTTCACTTCTTTTTTGTGAAGCCCATACACATAAAACTTTAAATATTAATAAAAGTGTATGCCTTCTCTCCTGTTAATTTGTCTTTTGTCAGTTTAACTCACAGGACCTGCTTCATTAAAGGCCTTAGTTAAACCTAAGAGAATAGAGGAAATCTTTTTCCCTTCCCTACATAGTCATATTGGATTAGAGCCCCCACTAAAGGCTTCATTTTAACTTAATTACACCTTTAAAGGCCCTACCTCCAAATACAGTCAAACTCTTAGGTACTAGGGGTTAGTTCTTTGGTATATTAATTTGGAGGGGGAACACAATTCAGCCCCATGACAGATGGGAAAACTGAGACTATATGCGGTCAAATCTCTTGCCCAGGGTCAGAGCCAAAATAGGGCTTGCACTTCCCTGTATTGGAGACTTAAGCAACAAGGTAACTTCCCATTTTCACTTTATATTACATCAGAGAAAATTTTCCATTTCCAATCAAGACAGTTCTACATGATCCTTTTTTTTTTTTAATTAAAAATATGGAACGCTTGACTGTGGAAGCACCTGGAGCGGCTCCTGACCCAGGCCCTGAAGGAAGTGCTCCAGAGAGAGGGCCCAGACTGTGTGGTTAGAACACAGAATGAGGTGGTGACTATAGTAACAAGTTGGAGAAGGGACAGATGCTAAACCACGAAGTTCTTTACAAGACGTATTAAGAAGTTCAGGCTAAAACCCAAGGGCGTTGGATTTTAATGCAAGGGAAACAGATGAAGAGCTTTAAACAGGTGACATGACCTATTACATTTTTGAAAGATCACGCTGGTGGCAATGTTGCAGATTGGATTGGAAAATGCAAAGATTAGCCCTGCTGGTGTGGTTCAGTGGTTGAGCATCGACCTATGAACCAGGAGATCACGGTTCGATTCTCGGTCAGGCCACATGCCTGGGTTGTGGGCTTGATCCCCAGTGTGGGGTATGCAGGAGTGTGGGAAACCGCCTATTGTCTTCACTAGCAGAGAGGTGTAGACAGAGAACCCGGAAGGCTGGTGACCTTTGAAGCCCTAGCAAAGGTCAGAGCTGTGCACCACCTTGGTTAATCCAGATAATGGTAGCTGAAGCAACCTCCCCACATTTAGTCATGTAAATCCTTATTGATAAGAATAGTCTGTGTGTCACTGGGACCACCCTGCCTAAGGGCTATACTATGAGTGGATCCCAAACCAAAGTTCCTCTTGAGTTGGACTTACCTGCCTGGCCCCCCAATATTTCCAAATTGAAAAAAAGAATATGGAACGCTTCACAAATTTGGGTGTCATCCTTGCGCAGGGACCATGCTAATCTTCTCTGTATAGTTCCAATTTTAGCCAAAGCAAGCACTACATGATCCTTTTTGATGTTACCTATTATCTTAGCTCAGGCTGCTATATCAGAACACTATAGACAGGTGGCTTATAAACAACAGAAATTTATTTTCACAGCTCTGGAGACTGGGAAATTTAAGACCAAAGAGTCAGCAGATTTACAGTAGTGTCTAGTGCAGTGATGGCATGTCAGCATTTTGAAAAACCCTAACTTAACTCTGGTGCCGTGTCACATATAGAAATTTTTTGATCTTTGCAACCATAGTAAAACAAAGATTTATATTTTTGATATTTATTTTATATATTTAAATGCCATTTAACAAAGAAAAATCAACCAAAAAAAAGAGTTCGCATGTCACCTCTGACACGCGTGGTCTAGTGAGAGCCTGCTTTCTGGTTCACAGATGGCCATCTCTCTGTGTGTTCAGAGGTAGAAAGTATAGGGGAGCTCTCCAGGCACCTCCCCACCTTTTTTTTTTTCTGGTTGATCAGCATAGCCAGGTTCTCTCCTTATTGTCCTGTTACAACTGTATTTATAGCATTGGATCCTATAAGCATGCCTCTATAGTTACATCATGGTATGATTTGGGTCCTCCTTTGACCTTCTACACCTCCTTGTTTTATGTTTATAGTTTATCTGACCTTTGATAAAAATCTTATCTCTATCTAGCTCTGTTGGTTTTTTGTTTTTTTTTTTTAAGGAGGGAACTTTATTTAATATTTAAGTTGGGGAGAGGATCCGAGGGGAGGTCGGCTTCACTTGGTGATGGTGTTCCCGTTCATGCTCTTGCCGCTGCCGCTGAGCATGATGTACGGTGTCTTCTGGGCCTTTTGCTTTTCCCGGAGCAAGGCCACAGTGCCCAGGGGTGTGTCGCTGGAGCTCATCTTCTTCAGGAGCGCCTCCTGGTCCAGCTTCTTCATCCTCCGCTCTGTCTTCATCTTGCCCGAGCCTTTCCCGTGGAAGCGGTGGGACAGCTGCCGGAAAGCCTCCTTGGGTGTGAGTATTCGGCCCGTCTCATCCACATGCTCGATCTTAACATCAGGCTTATAGCCATCCTTCTCCTTGAAGTCCTGGGTGAAGCCCCGGTACTCCTCCCGCCGGCTATGCTTGTCATCGATGGCCATCTTGTCCTCAATGCAGTACACTGCTGACGGCAGGGACTTGTTGGGTGCCTTAACCTGGGCCACCTTCTGCACTGTCGTCTCCAGCAGTCCTTCGTTCCGACACAGGAGCAGCGCGTCTGCCAGCCCTGTATTCACGATGGGCTCCTCGTCCAGGATGGTGGCGGAGGAGGCAGAGAAGTCCTGATGCTGCTTCTCCTCCTCCAGGCTGACTGTGCTCCAGCCAATGTTCTCCTCCCGGTCAGACGCAGAGCCGTTCCAAGTCCATGAGCTCCTCCTGCTCCTTCCGGTTGCCGGCCATCCCGTAGGTGGGGATCTCCCCCAAGTTAGGGCAGAACTCCGACGTGGCGTTGAACACGAGGGTCCCCTTCCGCTCCGGACCCTCCTCCTCCTCCTTCAAGCCCCGCTGGCGGGACTCCAGCTTCTTCACAATCTCCACCACCTTCTCGCCGCTGTCCCGCGGCTGGTGTAGCTGCTGCAGCTGCGGTAACTGGCGGCCCTTCTCCAGCTGCTTCTGCAGCTCCAGCTCCGCCTCATCCTCCTCCAGCAGCTCTGGGGACCCAGGTGGCAGCCCGTCCTCCTCCTCATCACTGATATCCATGTTTTCCACCCGAGTGTCATCTGACGGTGGGGGCTGAGACACCGGCTCCTTCTATTCCTCTTCCTCCTCCTCCTCCTCCTCCTCCTCCTCCTCCTCCTCCTCCTCCTCCTTCTCCTCCTCCGGGGCCTCCTCCTCCTCCGGGGCCTCCTCATCTCCCCTGGGCACTCGGCGCCGACCCCGGCCCCGTAGTCTGGAACCAAAGTCCCCATCTTGACCCAAGAGGCAGCAAGTCGTCAGCCCGCACTACCATCTCCTTCCCCTCCTTTCGGATCTTCTTCACCTTCCGCTTGGTCTTTTTAAAGGTCACCCTCTCCTCTGGAATCAGGTACTCGGAGGCGAGCCGCAGCCCGGCCATGCTCAGGGACTGAGCTTGCAGCCGCAACTTGGTGCGCATCTCTTCCAGCTCACGTCCCCGAAGGCCATGGGCAAGGCCGCCCTGCCCCAAACGGAAGGAGTGCGGCCGCTCGCCCTCCAGCTCCTCGTCGTACCTGGCCAGCACAGAGCGGGGTTTTCGCTGCGCCAGGTCATCCACACTCTCATCCTCTGCATAGGCAGGTAGTCGGGCTTTTTCTTCCGCAGCTCCACGTTTTTCTCCGCCCGCGCCTTCTCCAGCAGGTTCACGTTCACCAGCACGTCTTCCTCCTCCCGCAGCACGCCTTTGTCCTTCAGGCTGAGGATCACGTCTGCCCTTCTCGGAAGGAGTCCATGGCATGCTCCACAGTGAGGCCCTGCAGGTCCCGGGCACTGTACAGGTCCTGCCGCCCCCGCCCGAACTCCTCCTCCACCAGAGGGCTGACACCAACCTCGTGGTCCACCTCCTCCAGCAGCTCGGCCCTCTTCTCTGCCAAGTCCTGCTCGCTGCGGCGGCGTCCGGCCAGGGGTCCTCCTCCCCCAGAGTCTTGATCTTCCCCACCTTCTGGTTCAGGAGGCGCTTTTCTTTGGCAGCTGCCAGCTTTTCTCGTAGCTCCTCTCGTTGTCCTAAGGCCGTGGGGTTGATGACATCGGCTGCCACGGGCTCCTCCTTGGTGCCTGCCTCCTCCTCGACGGCACTGACTTCCAAGGGTTTCAGCCCCAACTTTGCCCGGAGTTTATTGGTCTCCTCGATGCTAAGTGCGAGGCCTCGCAGCCATCGTCCCGCTTCACGCGCCGCTCGGAGGGCTCGGCTTGGCCGCGCTCCCTCCCGCCCGTGCGCACCGCTGCAGGCCTCGGTCTCGCTCCCGCGCTCGGCCCCGTTCCCGGCCTCCGCCCCCGTCCCCGGCTCCGCCCCCGTCCCCGGCTCCGCCCCCGTCCCCGGCTCCGCCCCCGTTCCCGGCTCCGCCCCCGTTCCCGGCTCCGCCCCCGTCGTTGTTCCCGGCTCCGCTCCCGGCGTTCGCCGCAGCTGCCGCCGCTCTGGTGCTTGTGTCTTTTGTGCTCTCGGTGCTTGTGTCTTTTGTGCTCTCGGTGCTTGTGTTTTTTGTGCTCTCGGTGTCGCCGCGGCTGCTCGGTGGCGCCCCCGATGTTTGGGTGAGGCCACAAAGTTAGTAACAAAGAAACCGAATTTCCAGAGGATGAGGCCCAGAAATCAGGATTTTAAAAAGATTCCCAGGTGATTCTAATGTGCAGCCAAGGTTGAGAACCACTGATCTAGACTGTTTCTTGTACTACAGTGGGGCCTTGACTAACGAGTGTCCCGACTAACGAGTTTTTCAAGATACGAGCCGTCTCTCCGCCGACTTTTTGCTTTGAGTTGCGAGCTAAAATTTGGGTTACAAGCCAGCTTCAGATACCCCACCGCTAGTTGGCGCAGCGAACGTCACAGTGAACGCCACAACATCAGCCCAGCATCACATGTCTCACTCGTTCACTTTATGATTTGACATACGAGTAATTTGAGTTACGAGCTCCGTCACGGAACGAATTAAACTCGTAAGTCAAGGCCCCACTGTATTTTAAAAATAAATTTACAGTGAGCATTCTTGTAACTAAATCTTTGCACCCAATCTTTAACCTTCCTAAAAGTAGAATTGCTAAATTGCACAGTATGCAGTTTTTAAAGACATTTGTATCTATGTGGTTTTTTAAAGAGAAAGTAATGCGCATCCTGCAATAATCAGGCTTAAATGCAAAGTAATTCCTATCCTTTTATTATTTTTACATCCATGTGTCTACATATGTATACGCATGCACAAATATATCTCTGATACTTTGGAGATTGCTGATTTCATCAAGAGAGATTAGAGAAATGATTTCGAGTTCTTCAAGAAGCAGAATCTTTAATTGCACAAATGTGTTTAAAAGGCCAACACAATGCTTGGCACAAAGAGACCCACAGTGAACATTTAATGAATATGTGAATGATGATCTCACAGTGTCTCATATCTGCCTAAAAATAATCCATTTCCCTTTTCTGCTCCTGGGGAAAGAATAAAGGTTTGAGTCCTGGCAGAGCAGATTTTTTTTAACTTTAACAAAACACGCTTGCTTTTTAGATCAGATGGCTTACAGTTATTATTAGCAATAGGCCTAAAAATACTGATGCAATAGAAGTGTCATTTTCATATGTAATTTATAGAGCATATAAAACATCACTAATCAACTACCTAATTGCTACTCCAAAGTCAGCTTTCAAGTAAAGAGAGAAAAAAAGGTCACTATAAATTACTTTTATTCTGGCTATAGAAAGACTTTTTAGAAGTTCTAAATTATAGGTTCTTTGCAAATATTCTTACTTGATTATTTGGTTTATATAACAGCAAAGGGATGGAGAAAATTTCCATGAGTTGGCAAGTAAATAATTACCTGCCATATCTTCAAGTTCTACAATGAATTTTTAGATTTTTATTGCACTTGCAGATTTAGCACCAGAGAATTTCCATTCTCTTTTCAATGTCTTTTGTTTTCTATTCCTCATAACTTATAAAATATTCAGCAGCTTGATTTGTATTAGTAGGAAAGAAATAATAAAAGTACAGTAACTTTTCATATCATGACTAAATACATTCGTTTGGTGTAAAATGGCATGACTTAAAATCATTTCTTTATTCATTGAGTGCTTACTATGTGCCAAGCACCTTGCCAGATTCTGAAATAAAGAGCTCTAGATAGAGTACAATTCAAGTTTGCTTATTCATGTCATCTCTAAATATTCCGTGTCTTTTGTGAATTATTTCTTTTTATTTCACCTCCCTTTCTTTGTTATGTTTTTCATTGTTTTATTTGTGTATGTGTAGAAAATTTTCCTGTTTTACTTTCTTTTCTTTCCTTCTACCTTTTATTACCTACTAAGTTGACTCTTGCATTTGTCTTTAATTATATTTTCTC